AGGGTCAGGGTGAGGCACGGGCCGGGGGGGGGGGTCAGGGTCAGGGTCAGGGATTAGGGTTAGGGGGCGGGGGGGGGCGGGGGGGAGTGACTCAGGAGCCTGCGCCCTCTCCATCAATGCCCTGTGCTTTCCACTGCTCACCTCCCTCACAGCTGCAGCCCCTGGGAACCAGACCACCCATTTCCCTTAGTTATGACCTCAGAAGGAAAGCAAAGTCCTTCTTCCCTCCCACTCACAGCTGTGCTTGGACCTGACCCCCACCCCCTGGTGGGGTGGGAGCCCCAGGGCCGCCTGGCTGGATTTTGTCAAGCACACACAGACCCTCAGCACCCTGAGGGGTGGGCTGGGTTGAGGGAGTTTACATTTCCTGGCAGCTTGGGACCCAGGACTGCTGCACTGGGCCTCTGAACCCAACCCCAGTGTCATCCTGGTGTGGCTGCCCCCCCCACGCACACACATGACTGGGTTAAGTCTGAGTCCCGGGACAGCAGGCAGCTTCCCCAGGCCCTGAATGCTAGAGCCAGGCCAAGGCTTTAGGGCCAGGAAGAGAGGACATCAGTCTTGCCCCTGGGCTCTGAGACTGCACTGGGAGACCTGAGCTCCATCAGGCCTGGGGGTCCTAGAACTCAGCCTCCCATGTGCCCAGCTGGGGGCACAGAATAGGAACCAGGAGCAGGGAGTGAGCTGGTCCCCTTCTCCAATTCTGTGAGGAATCAGAGGCCCCGCTAGCTGTCCAGTTTCTAGAATAGCATCAAGGCCCGGAGGAGTCAGCTGTGCCAGGAAAAGCCATTACCCTGACAGCCTCCCTCCACCTGCTAAAAGCCTCCCTCCTTCCCCTGGGGCCCCACCCCTCCCTGAGTTATTCCATCTCCACTCACCTAGTCCTGACGATCTTTGGTGTGTGTTTGAGGGAAGGGAGGAAAGATGCTTGCTTAACTCTTTCTGTGCCTGTGCAAAGTCAGCACACGTGGTAGGCTCCCTTGGCCTTGCCCATGGTCCTTCCCATCTCTTTCCACCTGGAATTCCTCCTGCCAGACTTCCAGGAGCTTGGGTAGAGAAGGGGAAGGGACAAGAGGCTGAACACATCAGGAGGGTGGAAGACAGGCTGACAAGTATGGGTCATGGGTTCCAACCTGAATTCTGTCACTGCACTGCTTGTGACTAAGTCCATCCCCCACCCCCTGGGTTCTGTCTTCTCCATGCACTGGAAAGCCCCCAGGGATACAAAATACTGTGTGCCCATGCAGGCAGATTTGATGTGTGTGGGTAGAAGGACTGACTTCCTCCTCATGCGCTTTCCTGGAACACTGCCTCCCCTGGTGCTTCTACCTTTCTGCTGCTCTCTGTCATCCTCCTCCGTCCTCGTCCTTTGTACAGCACAGTTCACGGAGGAGTGGAGGCTAACACAGCGTGGGGAGTGGACAGAGCAGGCGGAATGATAGCTGGTGAGAGGCTGCTGCTGCGAGCTCTGAGGCCTCTGACTGTGGGGGCAGCTGTCGAGGGGGAGAATCAGGGCCCAGAGTGGCAGGAGCAGGAGCGCAGACTGCATCCCTCAGTCAGCAGAGGTCACAGAGCCCAGAGGAAGGGACCCAGAGGGCGGGGGACAGGCTAAGCTTGACTGCCCAGCCAGCCTTGATGGCTTCTGGGCTCCAGCCTGGCAGCCTCCCACATGCCCCTGGGCCAGAGGGCCCCCTTTCCAGGCATGGGGAGGTGATGTGTGTGGATGGGCACTGAGTCTGGGAGATGCACCCCTTCTCATCTCAGCCCTCCCTCAGTGCTTCCCTTTTTCCCCTTCATGCCGCCCTCAGTCAGGTCCCGTTGAGAAACACCCAGGCTGTTTTGTGTCACAAATGAGGGAATAACATGAACTGGGGCCTTCTGTGTGCCAGGAGCTTTGCACGCTTTCTTTCCAGTCCTTCCAACCACCCTCGGAGGGAGGAGGCAACTGAGGCTCAGAAAGGGGAGGTGACCTGGCTACGAGATGACCGTGGGCTCAAAACCTGGTTCTGTGTGGCTCTGAAGCCTATGCTTTTTCTAGGGCTCCACACCTTGGTCACAGCAGCCAGAGACCCCAGCGGCAGACCCAGAGTTGGGGTCATGATGGGGAGACACTGGGCCAGGGGCAATTAAAATTATGATGATGACGCTAATGATGAACACTTTCATGGTGCTTAACAGTGTGTCAGGTGCTTTACACATATTAACTCACTTCATGCCCACTACAACCCTGCATTATCACCCCCATTTCACAGACAAAGGGAAGTAAGGCACAGCAAGGTGATGTACCTTGCACAAAGTCACACAGCTAGTAAAGTGTAGAGCTGGGATTTGGAACCCAGGTGGCCTGACTCCGGGGACCCTGTTGTCATCAGCATGCCACACTGCCTCTCAGTCAAAGCAGAAGGGGAGTCCTCGGTTGACCCCGGAGTTTGGAGACGAGACTCCCACAAGAATGGTTGTCCACAGGAGTAGGGCTGTGACAAGTGTGCAGCAAGGAGCCAGGCCACTGTGTCACTCAAGTCCAGAGGACTGAGGGAGCAGTGAGGGCCAGGGGGTCCCAGAAGGCTTCCTAGAGGAGAGGAACCAGCTGGCTGGGAAGGACCACAGTGTGGTGTTGCTAACACATAGCGCAGATTGGCAGAGCTTCTGGGGCAACTTGCCTGCCCCACAGTCCGTTTGGGGGCCTCTGGGGCTGAGGCCAAGGCTGGTGGAGCTCCATCTCTGCTTTCCGCGCTGGGGTACTGTTTGCGCAGGTGCCTGCCCCTCCCGAGTGGGTGGTGTGGCTCCCCTGCTGCAGGTCCCCAGATGATTCCCCACCCAGATTGCTGCCGTTAATGGAGCAGCACTGTTTACAGCCCAACCTCCTCCACAGAAGAAGTATTAACTCTCTCCCTGAGCTGTTTGATGGCTCAGGATCTCAGAGACACTTATCTCAGATACCTGTAGGATGCACTGGGATGCAGAGGGCCCAAGCCCCGCCTCACCTTGGACAGCCTAGCCCTGCATGACCTGTGAGTGCTCGAAGGCCAGAAACCCCTTCCCACCCCCGCCCCACCCCATACACAGCTCCAGGTGCCCACCCCAGGGCCCTGCACACAGTGGCTGCCGCAGAAGCCAGGAGCATGTGTGTGCTCCATTGAAAGGGTTCAGAGCTGGGGGAGCAAGGCCAAGCCTTGGTTATCTGGGCCAGAACCTTCGGGAAATGAAGGTCAAAAGGGAGGCCAGCCAGGTGTGCACCGCACAGCCGCCCTGCCCAGAGGCTTCTCCCACTAAACAGAGCCTAGAGAAGAGGGTCAGGACGGGGAGTCTGTGCACACAGGCGCCTGCTGGGGAGCCCTGCCCTGTCAGGAGGCAGGAGGTCAGACAGGCCAGGCGTCTACCTCCTCCCCCACCACCCCCTTGGCCTCTGGTGCCTGAGTCCACGTGAAGGCCTCAGCAGTGGCCAGCGAGACAGTGTGGTCACCCGGGCAGCAGGGCAGTCGAGGAGAGAGGCCTGGCGTCCCCTGGGCCCGGGATGACATGAGTGTTTCTGCCTGGGAGGGAGCTCTTTGTGCTCTGTCCACCCTCTGCTCAGATTTATAGACAGTAGAGTCAGGGAGGGGTGAGCGGCAGGCAGGACACCCTCCCTCGGACTCAGCCTGCCCGTCCCTCTGCAGGAAAACCACGTCTGAGGAAGCGAAGAACGAGACCTCCAAGGCAGTCACATCTGTGACCTCGGAGCCCACCAAAGCCCCCATCTGGGGGGACACAGTCAAACTGGAGATCCAAGCTGAGGATGCAGGGCGAGAAGGTGAGGCAGGGGGCGGGGTGGGGCTGGCGTGCATGGGAGGGGGTGTGAGGCAGGGGCGGGCTCCCTCTCAACTCAGCTGGAAGCCACCTGAATGCCTCCTTGGGCTCAGTTAAAAGCACTTTAAAGAAAAAAAATCATAATACTGTCACACCTCATCTCCCCAGTCTGCTCGAAAAATGAGTTGCTCCACATAAATGAATTTTCCAGACAATGAAAGCTTATCTTTTTTATGACCATTGTTATTATTTTCATGGTTGTTATTACCGCGGTCTCCCACGGAAATGGCACATCACAGCTTCCTGCATGTCCCCACGCCTCGCTCACTGGAGTCACCCCCTCCCAGGAGGAGCAATGCTGCTCCCATGGCTCCGATGAGAACACTGAGGTTCAGGGAACTTAAATAACTGGCTCAGGCTCAAGTAATCAGTAAGCTGAGGACCTAGGACTCAGCTTTACGTGCTCTCACTGCAGCTCTGGTGTTCTAGCTGCTTCCCTAGAATGGCTCCTTATCCTGCCCTGTCCTCCCCCAGCCCTGCCCACTGTCAGACAGTAGCGTCTGTGCTTCCGAGGGCTGGGGTCCACTCTCGTAGAAACTGCTGAATAGTTCTCGCTCCTCCACCCCCAGAAGCCTTTCTAGCCCCGTGTTTCGGCAAATGCAAACACTGCAGGCAACTTAAGATGCCGGTGTGCATGCATACATGTGCAAATTTGTGTTTTGCACACTGGGGGCCTATCTGACTTCCATGCTTGGGCCAGAGCTTGGGCTGGGCACACAGGAGTAGTGACTGACTGATGCCATGGCTGCTGTGGGCCCTGGCACGGAGCACTGTTGGTGCAGACCCACAGGTGCCCACCATGTCTCTGGACTCATCTAGTCAGAAAAACCTCAGGCTCCCATCTTGCAGGTGGTCCTTCCCTCAGAGGACAGGCTTTACTTCTCCCCTTGAAATCTCAGCAGGGACTCACAGGACTCCTTGTCCACCTCACAAAGAGCAGAAAGCCAGCTGCTAAAGACAGTGGAAGGGGAGAGAGGAAAAGGACAAGGAGGAACATCAGTGAAAGGGGAAGAAGCTAGCTCTGGGTCAAGCCAGAGGGTTTTTTTCCTGCCTGTAAAGGGAGAGGTGTGGCTGTTGGGATGATTTGAGAAAATGTGAAAGAGCAGGAAAAATTGACCTAGGATTTCATGCAAATGCACGTGTGCATCTGTGTGTGCATGTCTTTGTGAATGTCGGCATTCTGGTTCACATGCTGGTTCATATGCACGCAAGCACATGTATATGAGAACGTGCTTGTGACTGTGTCTGTAGGCATGCATGTCTGTGTGTCTTGCGTGTGTGTGTGCATGCACAGGTGTAGTGTGTGTGTGTGTGTGTGCGCACGCACGCGTGCATCTCTGTGGCTGGCAGGAAGTTAGAGGTTGTGTGGAGTGGACCTGGGCTGGGATCCTGCGCTGAGCTCTACACATCTGGGGTGACTCCAGGAAAGGGTGTGTTGAGTCAGTGGCCTTGGGGCCCATCTGTGCAGCAGAGAGGGGAGCAGGACTCACTGCAGGAGGGACGGGGGGTGGGGAGGCCTCATGGGCGGGCGGGGAATATTGGCAGGCGCCCCTTTGCAGATTGAAGTAGCTGGATGCTTGTTGGAACCTGGTTGGAACCGGTTGCTGTGGTGATGTCTGTGGTGGGGGGTGGGGCAGATGGGGGCCAGGCCAAGAGGTGGGGGAAGGGCGAGAGGTAGCTCAAGGATGTGTTAATGAAAAGCAAAGGGGAGTTGCAGAGCCTGTGTCAGGGCCAAAGCAGGCAGCAGCAGAAATGGCTTGGTGGCCACACAAAGGGAGCGGTGGGAGGCTGGAGGGGCACAGTGCCCAGAGAAGAAACTGATGGAGCGTGTTTGTAGCATGGAGACAGGACCAGCGAGGGATGGCTGTCCATTCCCCCCAGTTACAGTTCATTTGCTGGCTGCCCACACAGAGCTCCAGAGATGGGGGTAGGGGGAGAAATGCAGGACGCTCACCCCTCATTCGGCCTCAGCAAATTCCAGCTAGAGCTGGGGACTCAGGGCCCATGAGTAGTGACCATGAGGGGCTACAGCCTCCACAGCTACTGTTGGAGCTTTGGCTGGGAGCACCGGAATCCCCCAGCTGAGTTTTTTCAGTCTGCTCAGGGCTGGGTGAGTGTATGGAGCGCTACAGATGGTTAATGAGGAGGGAAATAGTGACAGCTACGAGGAGCATTTGCTTAGAATTTTATAGCTTGAAAAACATTCCCCTCCCAACAACAATATTAGGAGAGGGATTTTCTTTTTTAAAGTATTAACATTTTGCAGAGCAGGAACATGAAGCTCAGAGAGGTTAAGTGACTGGCTAAAAGTCACAGAGCAAGTTGGTAGGTTGGCACTAGAACCCAGATCTGCTGGCTTAAAACCCCTTGCCTTACTCTACTTTCTTCAAGCCAGGCTCAAGTCCTTTTGGTGCCCATTTTCCCCTCTTTCCTTTGAGCATGGATCCCCTGTGGCCAGCTCTTGAGGGATTTTGGCAAGTGTCTTTCCCACTCTATGCATCCAGGGTGGCTGTGGGGAGGAGGAAGAAGGGAAGAGTAATCAGCAAAGCCCTAGGCTTCCTCCTCCACGCCCTCATCCAGATGACCCACCCAGCTCCAAGTGACCCAGAAGCCCTGGGCTCCCAGTCTGCCAAGCCTGCAGAGCCGGCAGCTGTCCCTGGTGCTGAAATATCCTTGTCTCAAGAAGAGAGGTAGAGGGCGGGGGGCCACCCAAGAGTCTCCCTCAGGTACACCCATCCGCCCAATCCTCCCTTTCCCATTCTTCTCTAGATCTCTCTTTTATCTCCCTCCCTCCTCCATCTCCCTCATTCGTTCTCCCTCCCTCCTCCATCTTTCTTTTCCTTTCCTCCCTCCCCATCCCCTCTTCCTCAACTCATAGACTTTTAGAGTGGGAAGATGCCTCAAGGGTCATCAACTCCAGCCTCTCCCATCAGCCATTTACCAGCTGTGTGATGTTGATCAAGTTATATAACCTCTCTGATCTCCAGTGTCCACATTTTAAAAACAGAGATGGTGCTTCCTGCTTAAGGGATTGTGGTGGGGATTTGTTGGAATAATGGCTCAGGAGCAGCCATCCCCATGCCTGGCACACAGTAGGTGCTCACTAAGTAGGACCACCATGATTATTTCCAGGTCACTGGTGTTCTTCTCAGAATTCATCCCAAATTTCATGCATTTTATGACAAAATGTAGTCTCTTCGGAGGGAGTTTTCTAAGTGGTGCATTGTTCTTAGTGTTTAGATTAGTTTTCATTTACTTGGAGTAAACTTTTATTGATATTTGCATTGAAAGATTTCTTGAGCAGATCGCTTTACTTACCGAGCCTCAGTTTCCCCATCTGCAACATGTGGGAGATAATCCCTCCCCTAACTGCCTGAGGAGCTGGTGAGAGTGTTTGTGACCAAAGGAAGGAGACTTAGTGCTTGAAAGGAGCCTTAGTCCTCCATGCTTGCATGTGTCTCTGTGCGTGCACATGCGTGTCTGTTGCTATGCGGGACTGGACTCAGTTCTGTGTGTGTCCATCTCTGGGCTGGGAGTTTCTGGACCACAGGAGAGAATTGCGTCTTTGGGTCCTAACAGCACCTAGCATGGAGCCTTGCCCTGTGCAGGGGCTCAGTGCTTGTGAAGTGTGCATGTGTGTGTTCCACACGTGTGCATGCATGTTGATTCCTCAGTGTGGCACCTGCTCCCCTCCTCTCAGCAATCTCTCTCACCTCACTGGGAGGGAAGGTGGTCAGCTAAGCCTGGTCCTGACCCGGTGCTCATTTTTTCTGCCTCCAGATGTAGTCCTCAAGGTGGTGGACAACAAAAAGAAAGAGGAGCTGTTGTCTTACCAAATCCCCATCAAGTACCTGCGTGTCTTCCACCCCTACCACTTCGAGCTGGTGAAGGTGAGTCTGAGCCCTGGGCTCCAGGCCCACAGGGGCCTGGGACAGGTAGGGGGAAAGCAGGTGGGAACCACCTTGCTGCCCCCAGCTCTTCCCTCAGAGCATCCAGGGCATCCCATGCCCACCCTGCAGTATGACAAGTCTAGGACCACGTTGGGCTCAGGAAACACAGCGCCTGGCAGGTAGACAGGAATGATTTTCCATAAGAATTTGGAATTCTCCAAATTCATCTCCATAAAACAGCCCAATTAGCATAGAACATCTACTACATTAAATGAATACCCCAACTAAAAATGTATTCTGATTTCATATAGGTTGAAACTGTGGGAGTGTATCTAAAGATCAAAGCAATATGGCATTTATGGAGTACCTCCTATGTTCCAGGTCCTGGGCTAGACGCTATACACACGGTCTCTAATCCTCAAGGTGAACTGTAGTTGGCAGACATAAGACTAGGACTCAGAGAGAGGAACCCTCTCATCCCAGATCACAGAACAAGAGAGCAGCAGAGTTGAGGGTGAGCCCAGGTCACGCTGTCTCCCAAGCCAGTTCTTTCTGTGCTGCCTCGACGTGCTACCTTGGCAGGTGGAAGGCCCAAGAGAGTTGGGGTATGTGGGAAATACAGTGGTCCCTGGAATGCACCTGTCTAGTCAGGAACTGGGCATGAGCCTGGAGTGGCAAGCCCCAGGGCCCCTCAGTCCATGGCCTGAACGCCCCCAGGCTAGCTCCCAGGCCCGCCCCTCTCCCCAGTGCTGATTGGTGGAAAGAAGAATTCCCTCTCTCACTGCTCAAGTACTTATTAAGCCCCTACTGTTTGCCAGGCACTGGGCCAGAGATGAGCAGAAGCATCATTTCCCCCCCTTCAATGTGCATTCAGACCTCGATAGTGGTTTAGAGTAAAGAACAATATGAAGTTAGATTGTCTGGGTTCCCATCCCAGGTCTGCTGCTTGCTAGCTGTATATTCATAGGGAGCTACTTAACCCCCCAGGCCTCCATTCCTCATCAGCAAAATTAAGACAATACACCTCCTAGTGTGGCCATTTGGAGGATCGCGTGCAATGACAGGCACAAAGCCCCTAGTAAGGTGCCTGGCTCACAGTAGGTGCTCACTTGGGGTTAGTTCCCCTTCTTCCTCCCTTCCAAGGCCCTGGCACTGACCTTCTCTCCTTGCAACTCCTCAACCACAGCCCCAGGGGGCTTTACCTGCCCTAGGCCCCAAGGAGAACCCCAAGCCCAGGGCCTTAGGACGAGGCACCATAGACAGGCAGGGAAGTGAGGGCCCAGAGAGGTTAGTAACTCACCTGGGAGACGGCACTTCAGCTGTAATTCCAGGAGCATCACCCAGGCCTCCCGGTTCTCTGTCCACTTACAACCCAGGCCTTGTTATCACATCTTTACAAAGAGAGCAGGCAGGCAGTGGTCCTTGTGAGGGCGATGAAATATTCAAATAGAAAAGGGAAGATTTATTATATTGATCTCCTTGGAAGGGCTCGCAGGGACCATGAGCTTTAATTATCAGCTCGGAGCCCCAGTGGAGCAATGCCAAGTGATTGTCTGCAGAGGCCAGGATTTATGGCCAGGTCTGCCCCCTAGTCACTCTCCTTCTTGTGTGTCTTCTTCCGCCACCCTGTCCCCAGCCCACCCCATCTGGGAAAGCCGACGAAGCCACTGCCAAGACCCAACTGTACGCAACAGTCGTTCGGAAGAGCAGCTTCTTCCCCCGCTACGTTGGTTGCAACCACACAGCTCTGGAGGTGCCAGGACTGGGGCCCTCAGGGCAGGGTGGGGCGGGAAGGGGCCAAGTGCAGAGAAGGCCCCAGGCCCTGCCCTTGGCTGCCCTGGCTGGCCTGACGGTGTGGGGCAGGGGTGTCTGGGGAAGAAATCAAGAAGGGAAAAAGCAACCAGGCCTTTCAAGAATAGTCGAAGCAGTTTGTGAAGAACAAGCCTTGGGACGGCAGGGATGATGTGGATGGAGATGAAGGTGATTGATGATGCCTACCTAATCTTTTCCAGCACTTTCCAGGCACACTGCCTTGCCCTAACCTTGTCCTCCCTCGCTCTGCTCCTCACACACCACACAGGGAGTGCTGCAGGGACAGAAGTTTCCCGAAACCTTATGTCTTTCTGAATCTCATGAGGGAGGAATAGCCCCCACCTTGGCCCACATTCCCTGGCTCTTTTCTCTTCTGCTCTGTCCCTCCTGGTGTGGTGACCCCTGACCTCGGGCCCACATCCCCCAAGGGAGAATTTTAGGGCCTCCCCACCTTTCCTTGAGTTCTGTTTCTGAAGAGGTTTGGCTGGTCTTCCAATTAGGTATTCATTCATTCAGCATCTGTTTATAGAACCTCTTCCATTAGCCAGGCCAGGGCCAGGCCCAGCTTGGGCCTAGCTTCCACATATGCCCCCCACCCCCAATCCCCTCCATTGTCTTCTAACCCTAGGCCTTTCAGCAGCCTCAGGAGGACTGGTGATGCTCCAGGAAGATGTGGTCCAGGGACCTGGCCCCTCTGCCTTTCCCCTAGACTTCAAACTGCCCAGGGGTGACAGACTCAAATCCAGCCATGGCCTGAGCATGATCAGGGTGGAGCCAGGAGGCGCAAGCTCCAGGCTTCCCCTGCCCCGACATGGCTGATCTGATCTGCCCCATAGCACAGTGAGCTGGCAGGACGAGAAGTGTTCTTTAGTCCCATTTGACAGCTAGGGACACTGAGCCCCAGGAGGAGCCTGGTGTGGGAGCCCAGAGCTCCTAACCCACATCTCTGCTTCCCCACAGCCACCCCTTGGATGCCAGCATGTGTTAGACCTACAGGTGCCCTCTGTTCCCACCCCCCAGTCTCTTCCATCATGCCCTTTCCTGAGGATGGCCAGCAGCTTGCTCTCTCTCTCTCTCTCTCTCTCACACACACACACAACAAGGAAGAGTGACAACAGCCTGGCCTTGCTGTCCCCAGGTCACACCTCATAGGGAGGAAGCCACACCCCCAAGACCCAGGCAAAACCTTGGCCTGCAAAGGGCCCGCTGTGGTTCTGCCCTACTCCCACCCCAACCCTCTGACTCACCCCTTAGAGTCTCGGCCCCTCTGCCGTCCAGCCCCACCGCCGTCCAGCCCCCCCGCCACCTCCCCTTCCCCAGCACAGATGTCTTCCCTGTCTGCTCCTGATGGCACAGCGGGAGAAGAAATTGCTCCGCTCCTCCCCAGGCTGTCATGAGCAGGTGTGCTTAGGCAGCTGTCTCATTCACACCTGACCATTCAGCACAGAACGGTTGTAAATTAGTCCCCCCACTCTCAGACACCCCCCTCCCAGCCCTTACACCTGTTGGAGTCCCTGTGAGCAGTAGGGTTCTAGTGAAATCTCTCAGGCCCCGACCCCCACCCCCATCCAGAGATTGAAATGCCACCGTTGAGACTCCAGTCCTTTGCCTTTGGTAAAGGGATTCAGTCTCCAGAGGCCCCAAGGAGAGCTGAAAGGCCCTAAGCACTATGTTAAGCCCTTATCAGCTTATGCCTGTGTGGAGTTAGCCGGCGACTGGCTGAGATGGGTCCTGGCAGAGGGGCTAAGGTGGTGGTGCTGGTGGGGAGGAGAAAAGGGAGAGGGATCCAGAGCAAGCCCCTACTCCCAGGTCTTCTCCTCCCATTGAAGGTCAGAGCTAGAAGGACCAGGGAGAGTATGGTCCAACCCCTCAGTGTACAAGTTGGGAAGCTGAGGCCCAGAGTGGAGCAGGGACTGGCCACGGTGACACAGTGACACAGCTAGAGTAGACCTGGCAGGGGCCTCTTCCCATCCCGAGGGCTGCCTGTGTCATGCCCCTCGGCGGTGTCCCAAGACCCTTCCCCTTCCTGCCCCCTTCCTGCTTTTCTTCCCAACAGCACCACATAATTAGGATCCCACCGATCCTCCAAGAGCAGCTCAACCCCGCCCCTCCCTGAGGCCACTGCCTGTGTCCTCTCCCTCCCGTCCCAGGTCTCTGTGGTTCTCTGTCTCTCTCTCACTCATAAACACAGTCAACCTCTCCCTCCTCTTCTCTTCTCTTTTCTTCTCCATGAATACAGCACTCATTTATCCCACAAACATATATTGAACTCCTACTTTGTGCCAGCTTTTTGCTAGAAGCTGGGAATACAGATGGACATGGTCCCTGCCCCTGTGGACAAATGGTTCTAGTCAAATGGACAGAAAATCAACAAGAAAGCAATTAGATTAAACACAAGCTATGATGATGCTATGGAAGAGGCAATCGAGGGGCTGAAAGAAAGAGTGGTCAGAAAACGCCTCTCAGAGGTGGTGACATTTAAGCTCTAAAGGAAGAGAAGGAGCCAGCCACTGAGTTGGTGGGGGTGGGAATGGGGTGGGGGTGGGGAGTCTAGGCAGAGGGATCAGCATGTACAAAGATCCTGAGGCAGAAGAAGTGGGGCATGTTGGAGGGGTGAGAAGAAAAAGGCTGGAGCAAAAAGAGGAGGACTGGGGGCTGGCAGGAGATGTGGGCCGAGGGGCAACGGGCCAATGCCTGCAGGCTTTGGCTGTCATGGTAAGGATTATGGAATTCATTCCAAGGGCGGGAAGGTGGTGGGGGTGGTCATTGCAGGGCCTCAAGCAGGGGAATGACATGATCCAATTCATTTTTAAGGAGGCAGTTTTTGCCACTGGGTATCCAGTTGTCTGGGAAAGGGGGTGGATTTGGGGCAGGAGGAGAAGCAGAGGCCTGCGAGGGGTCAGAGAAGTAAAAGGAGCCACAGGAATCACAGCTGGGGGGGTTGGGGTGAGGACTGAGTGGAGACTAGGAGCCCACTGGCAAGTAAGGGGTGAGGGCCGGGAGCCAGGTCAGGAGTTACTTGGGATGGCAGTGGAGGTGTGTGGGTGTGGAACCCGTGTCTTCTCCCCCTGCCTTCCCTGCCTAGCCCAGGGCCTGCAGCAGGGCAGCCTGAGTAGAGAGAGACCCAAGTGGGGCACGAGCAGGCGGGAGAGGTGCAGAGGTGTGGAGGCAGGGACGAGCCCGTTGTTGGGGAGAAAGATGACAGGCCAGCTGGCCATGTCCCTGAGAGGGCCACCTGTGGCTCACCTGCCTCCTCTCTTCCCCAGGTCTTTCTGCGAGGAGTCAACGAGCCCCTAGTCAACAACCCCAACCCCATGGTGGTCATTGCCCGGGTGGTTCCCAACTACAAGGATTTTAAGTGAGTGGGGCCCGGGTGGGTATGGGCAAGGGGGGAGGGGAAGGCAGAGGACAAGGAGGGGGAAGGCTGTCATTGCCACCACAGGCTGTGATTCTAGGAGCCATAGAGACCTGCCCGTCCCCAAGGCCCTTCAAACCTCCCCACCGGGTCTGAGGTCTTAGGAAGCTGCCCATAGCCCCTGGAAAGGGGCAGCTCAGACCTCTCCTGAGAGCAGGCTGGGAGGGGAGCCACTGTGTGGAGGAGGAGAGGGGGTCTCAGCCCCTCCAAACCTGCCTCCCCATCTCACGCCCATCACATCCACAGTCCCCACTCCTGCTCTAGTTCAGGGCCAAGACTCCAACCCATGGTTGTCTCCAAAGGAGGCAGCCTAGGGGTCATCTCAGAACTTCATGGCCTTTAGCCCTGCCCAGGAGTCCCCTCCCTCCTCCTCCTGGAGGTCTCCCTGGCCCCAGCCCTGGCTCATCCCCTTCCTCCCCAGATCTCTTTCTGGGTTTGGTGGATTCGCAATCCTCAGGAGGGGATTCAGGCTAGTTTGGCCACTGGAGGCTGCACAGTGCAGTGAGTTCCCCAGTGGACATGTGCCCTCGGTAACAGCACTACCTCCTGGGGTCAGCTGTCTGCCTTTGTCACTTCCACTGACTCATGACGGCCCAAGAGGACTTCCTGACTCGTGTACCACCTGTTGACTTTTGATGAGCTGTGAACCCTCCTTGCTTGTTGGAGGAGTGAAGATGACTGATGTACTCACTCCCAGCCCTCCTATGAGCTCAGTGCACACACACACACACACACACACACTGAATCCTGCCCCTGCAGCCTCCATGCCCCCCAAGCCTAAAGTGGGATTCTTTCAATTCTTCCAAAGGTGAGGCAGGGATGCAAGGCCCATTTTAAAGATGGGGCAGCTGAGGCCTTCAGATGTGGCCAAGGCCACAGTGAGTCTTGGGGAAGGGAACCTGGGAGCTACAGCCCATCTCCTGACGAAGATGAGCTTTCCCAAGGCTTGGGCCAGGGACCAGAAAGACCAGGGTCCATCACCTGTCCAGGTGTCCAGGCCTGAACCAGGTGGGCCACTGCACTCTCCTCTCTCACATCCATCCAGAGTCCATGTGGGAGCCCTTGGCTGCCAGCTTTGGGCACAGAGCCAAGTGACACCCGTAGCACTCCTGTGCTGACCCCTGTCTCCTTGCCTCCCCAGGGTCAGCCAGATAAACCAGGACCTGGCCTCCCTGGGGCTGCCCATCACCCCACTCTCCTTCCCTATCCCATCCGTGATGAACTTTGATGTTCCTCGGGTCAGCCAGAACGGGTGCCCTCAGGTATGCTCCTTCCCTCATTCACCCTCTCGCTGGTTCATACCTCTGGTAACTCACCCACCCCTTCCGTCGTTCAGTCAGTCAGTCGGCTGTTCACGTGACTGTTGAGTAGGCATTTACTGAATCCTGCTGTGTACCCAGGGCCATGCATGTCTGTGTTGGGGAGAAGCTGCCCTCAGGACCTCTCTGTCTGCGGAAGAAAGGAGTCACGTGTGAGAAAGTTAAACACCAACATAAGATAACATTTAATCTAATGACAAACCAGGACAGTTAGAGCTGTAGAAATCAGAGGAGAGAAGACACAGAAGGACAAATACTGTATGATTCCACTTACATGTGGTACCTAGACTAGGCAAACTCACAGAGACAGAAAGTGGAATGGTGGTTGCCAGGGGCTGGGGGAGAGGAGAGTAGGGAGTTATTGTTTGATAGGTACAGAGTTTCTATTTGGGATGATGAAAAAGTTCTGGAGATGGATGGTGGTGATGATTACTCAACGTTGTGAATGTACGTAATGCCATTGAATTGTACACTTACAAATGGTTAAAATGGGGGCTGGCCTGGTGGCGCAGTGGTTAAGTTTGTGCCCTCCACTTTGCCAGCCCGGAGTTCACAGGTTCGGATCCCGGGTGCGGACATACGCACCGCTTATCAAGCCATGCTGTGGCAGGCATCCCACATATAAAGTAGAAGAAGCTGGGCACAGATGTTAGCCCAGGGCCAATCTTCCACAGCAAAAAGAGGAGAATTGGCAACAGATGTTAGGTCAGGGCTAATCTTCCTCACCAAAAAAAAAAAAAAAAAAGGTTAAAATGGTAAATTTTATGTTATGTATATTTTACCATAATAAAACATTTTTTCAGTCAGAGGTGAGGGGGATGTGAAGCCTGGGTGATTAGGGCGGGCATCCAGACACAGGACTACTGAGTTTTTAATAGGAAGGGTTGGTGCAGGGCGAGTGAGAACAACAAGAGTATAGGTGTGGATGCGCAGGAGGGCGGAGAGGAGGGTAGTGTGTTTGAATATGTTGGGGAGGGGGTGCAGATCATGGCTGGGTTCAGCAGAATGGCCAGATTAATCTCTTCCCATAGTCTGCACTTCAGTGGGAGCTTGCCCCATATGATGGTCCCAACATTCCCAGGGGCCTTAAAGAAGACAAGGGTGTCTGGGAAGTCCTTCCTGTTGTCTTCCCACCAATGTTCATGTCTGGCATGGCAAATATAGAATGAGGCACCCCTTCAGAGCCCCAGCCTTCACTTAAAGGCAAAGACATTTGAAGAAGGCTCAGACACGGACAAGAGTGATGGTGGCAGGGAGGGGTGGGATGAAGGGGGGACCCCAGGGACAGAGGCTTCAAACTCAAACCAATCCTCAGCCTGATTTCCCCAGAGTCATCTCATCCATGGCCCCGCATTTGCCCAGAAAATTATGAACCTATCAGCAGGCAGTCCCGAGGGGCAGCAGGCGCTGGCTGCTTTAATGAGGGAGCCCCCTTCCCACCCCCAGGCCCTCTCTGGCTGCCTTTGCTGCCTAACTAGTCTGGGTGGGGGAGGTGCCCCTCGCCACAGAGACTTACGCCCAGTGCCTCTTGCAGGTGTGGGACTCGAGGCCAGGGGTCCAGCGATGGCAAGACACTTGCTGAAGGTCACCCAGCACCATGGCAGTTGGGCCAGGTTGAGGACTCACTGGCAGCCGGCACAGAGGTGCCCAGGTGCCAGCAGTGAGAGGACAGGGGCAGGCTTCTGTGGTACAAGGTGGGGAGAAGGAGGGAGTGACCAGGGTGGAAGGTGCACCAGTCAGCAGCCCTGGGCTCAGAGCTCACACAGACCCCTGCCCCATCCTGTGAACTTCAGTCCCCTCATCTCAGTCGAGGGGGTGGGGTTGGACTCGGTGATTTCTGGGACCTGCCTCTCTGACACCCTGGGGTCCCTTGATTCCCATGCCCAAGCACTGTGGGCAGCGATCTGAGGGCCTGGCAGACCTGGGTTTGACCTCTGCTCTGTGACTTAACTAGCTGTGTGACCTTTGGCGAGCTTCTCAAGTTCTCCGATTCCTCATTCCTACCTTACTGGGCTGTTAGGAGAACTTAAGGGGATAACCCCTGCAAAGCGTCTAAGGCCAGGGTGGAAGCTCAGTGGGTTCCATCCCTTTTGGAGCTGCCTCTCCCCCAGTGCCAAATGCCCCTCTGAGGCCGGCCTTGCCTTTGCCCTTGTTACATTTGCCTACAAGTAGCAGAAACGCCAACTCGCATCAACTTAAACTCTACGGATGTTTATTGTCACACATCACAAGGGGTCCTCATGTAGGATGCTGCCAGAATTAATTGATGCGCCAGCTCAGCAGCTTCCTCAAGGACTCAACATCTGTCCAACATCCCTGAATTGGTGTCTTCAGCTGGCCAACAGCTCCTGAAGGCAAAATGTTCTGGACACTCAGTCCAGACGTGACCAAGACCAGAGGAAGACGGACCCTCCCCTTCTTGCACGTGGTTTTTGTGAGGAACTGGGAATCTCCCCATCCGCCCCTCTGCAGACCTCCTCTCTCGCCTCATTGGCCAGAATTGGGTCACATGCACTTCTCTCAGCCAATCACCGAGGAGGGGTGTGGCATCACCTTGCACGTAGCTAATGCAAGCAGGTGTGGAGGAGGGGACCCCTTGGACCAAAGTGGGTTCTGTTGGCTGGGAGGAGGGAGGGGAATGGTTGAAGGGTAGGATGCCCTCACCCCTCTCGGAGCCTGGTGATGGCAAAACCTGCACTGTGATGGGTTAAGAGGTTGGTGGGCCATGGGGCTTGACCTGACCCAGCCTGCAGGACCCGATACAGCGTGGAACTTAGGAGTTACTCCTACCCGGAACCCCGCACCCGGCACCTTTGAGGAGGCCTTTGTCCAACAGTCTGCTCCTGTTGGCCTGGCCTCCTACAGAGCTAAGGCAGAGCTCCTGGCCGGTGAAACAGAGCAGTGGTGAAAAAAGTTGTCTGGGCCCACTGTCATCTCCTCCTGTCTCAGCCCCCACAGCCAGTCTGTACCTGAGCTCTCCTGGGGCCCCTTCCATGCTACAGACCCTGCCCCAAGGCTGGCCTCATCTTCTCCCGCCTGCACCACTGCAGCAGCTTCCATTCGGGCCCCTCTCATCCATCCTGTGAGAAGTAGCTGCAGCATCCCCCCACCCAGGGCTAGGCCCTTCCCCTGGACCCCTCGTCCTTATCACCAACAGGACGAAGCCCTCACTGTCAGCCAGGTACACAGGCCTTGTCTCCTCCAGCCGCCTGGCTCACTGTTCCACCTCACACAGGCTTTCTCTAGCTCTGCTGGATGACTGGCTGTTCTGCACACCCATCCTGTCCTCTCTCACCTCCCCCTCAGCCTGGAGTGGCCTTCCGGCTTCTTACCTACTGCACGATCCCTCAGGTCCCCCCTTCCCCAGGTCACAAGTGATAGCTTTCTCCCCAGGCATCCCATCTCCCAAAACTCACAACTTGCTTAGGCCTCTGCATGGGTCACAGGTATGTGTGTGTGTGTGTGTGTGTGTGTGTGTGTGTGTGTGTCCTATTCCCTTGGAAGATGATGAGCTCCAGAGGCGAGCGGGGGCTGGCTCCAGCTCCCCCACAGGCCCTGCAGCACCCGAGAGGCATCCAGCATGGAAAAGCCCCCAGTCAACATTTGCTGAGTTCAAGTGAAGTGAACTTCCACCTTCACAGCAGAATATCCATTGTCTCCTTCAGTCCTCACTACAGCCTTTCAAAGCATGGAGCATAAGACATTTTCCCATAGGACAATGACAAAGCCAGGTCCCAGAGAGAGGAATGGGCTTGCCGAAGGCCACACAGTGAGGTTGAGGCAGACCTGGGCCCAGAGCCAAGGGGTCCTAACTCCTTCGAGGCCACACCCAGCATCAGCTGCTGGCAGTACTCTTCCCAGGATGCCACCACTACACCTGGGAAGAGCAGGCAGTGGTGGGTGTGGGTGTGGTGCGCCGCGGGGGAAATGGAGGAGGGCCCATGGGCCCATGTAATGAAGGCCGTGTCCCCAGGGAAGGCAGATCTGCCTCAGTGGCTGAGGGTTAATGGCTTTGCTGAAGATCACAGCTGAGGGTTAATCACATTCAATTCCACAGCCCACCAAGGACTTTCCCATCAGCATCTGTGGGCAATGGCCTCCCCCCCCACCCCGCCCCTGCCCCTCCCCCACATGCCACCAGCACCTTCTCCAGGGCCCTGGCATCAGGCTCTGAAGGGGGTTTAACCTTGATTCCTTGCCTCCTCCCATACACACACAAGAGGGGCTGACCCTCCCTCCCCAATTCTAGGTTTGAAGGGACCTGTCCTGGGGGACTCATCCTGGGACACGATTCGGGGAAGGAGCTGTCCTTACTGGGCAGGCAGACACCATTTCTTGCTTTGTAGACTCCATTTAGATGCATTAATAGGCCCCAGAGAGCACAGCCAGCATCCATTAAATACGCCTCTTCCAGGGTAGGAGCAAGGATCGGGCAGCAGGGGACTGACTCACAGGTCAGTCATTGAATGCCCCGTGCCTGGCAGATGGCCCGGGCTATGTGGATGCCCCTCCGGCCCAGGAGAATGGGGTGGCTCTGGGATGGGCATGGTTTGGGGATCAATCCTGAAAGGCCACTCCCAAGTGCCACAGAAGCAGCTTCTGTGGCCTGGCTTGGTGGCCAAGTGGCTGTCCCTGAGCTGCCACCAGAGCCTGCTCTCAGGAGCACTCCCAGTCACCCCAGTCACTGTCTCTGTGTTCAGGGCCCCCTGGCCCCAAAGTGACTGCAGCTCATCTCCCCAGGGGCAGGGGCAGACACAGCTGAGCCTCAGGCTGGGCCTCCGAGAACAGGAGCAGGCACATTAGTGTGACAGGCATCAGGGCCCTGCCGCCACGGGGCGGGGGTGGACCCGCACTGATATTTTGCCATCCTGCATCAACAGTTCCAGGAGCTGGTGGTGCATTTGTGCTGACCTTTCTGAGTGATGACTGATTCCCGCAGGGGAGCGGGAGGTGGGAGCGGCTGCCGCTGTTGCTGACAGCCCCTGGCTGGGGGCAGAGAGTCTACGCTGATGACCCCCAGCCCCTCCGTGTGTTGGGACCGTGCAGGGCTGCCAGCTGGGTGTTACAGGCTGATGCCCCCGTGTCCCTTCCAGCCTTCGCAGATGCTGGGCCTCCTCCACCTGGAGTCCCTCCTCACTCCAGGTGTCCTCTGCACATGCCACGCTTGGTGCCACCTCCACATTTTTGCTTAAGCTATTTTCCCACCGAGAAGACCTTCCTTCCTCCCTTCCTCTGGTCCTGCTTCCTTCAAGACAGCTTTTCTGATCACCCACAGGAATGTCTCATATAGCCCTTTATTAGGGGGCTATAGTTAATGCTGTCTTATTTCGTTGTTTAAATATTACCTACAGGTGTACCCCAGCCGCTGGCTTCGCCTGCTATCAAGTCCCCCAAATACCCCATGAAGACCTGTTGTGGGCTCTGCAAGGGTCTGGGAAACCTGTGTGAGGCAGAGAGAGGCTGTGACAAGGGTGGAGGTCGTGTCTAATTTGGCATCTACGACACCACCAGCCATGGGTCTGAACACTGGTGCAACTCTTAGGAAAACAGTCTACCCACGATGAATCCAGTGCCTTAAAATACGCACGTCCTTTAACTCAGCAATTCCATTCTGGGTACTTGTACTAAGGAAATAATTTGAGATACAGAGATATGTGTCCAAGAACATTCAACGCAGTGTAATATAGGAAAAATGGGAAGGGGGAGACCAGGGCATGTGGACATGACAGAGTGTCCTGCAGCGACTAAAGTAGTGGCTAACAAGTGTCACTAGGACTCTGGGTAGGCTGAGGTTCTAAGAGTAAATGAAAAAGGTGGGATGTTAGGATGACAATTATACAAAATAGGTGTAGGAAAAAAGCTAGAAAGGAACAGAGTCTTATGAACTGTCTTCAGTGTAGGAATTTAGGTGATTTTTTTTCACCTTTCTACTTTTCCATATTTTCCAAAATTTATTCATTAAGTGTGTGTTGCTTTTATAATTGGGACAAACGTATGTGGCATATATAGATACATACAACCAAATATCCAGACATCCCTTGATTTGGGGGAAGCAGTGGCCCCACCACCTGCTCCCACCTTCTCCTTTCAGCTGTCCAAGCCCGGGGGACCCCCAGAGCTGCCCCTGTGGAATCAGTCCTTCCTCTTCCAAGGCCGAGATGGAGCCACCAACTTCTCAGAAGACACAGCCCTGGTGCTGGAGTACTACTCCTCGACCTCAAGTGAGTGCCCACTGGTGCCGCGCCAGGGCAGCCACGCATCAGGGCATATGTATGAAAGGGTGTTCAGACCATCCTGCAGGGATGGGTTAAGGGGCCCGGTACCAAGGCAGCCTCCCAGTGCACATAGACAGGTAGGAAGGACCTGGCTGGCTTCTTTGTCCAAAAGGCAGCTCTGTGGCAGGGGCCGGGACACGTGGGCCCTCTTCCCGTACGAGATCCATGCATTTTTATTGCACCGCCCCCATGTGCCTCTCAGTGAGGAGGGTGGGAGTGGAGCCCTCAGGGCTGACATCCTGGTGGGAGACAGGATTCAGAGACCAGCTGATCCACAGTCTTAGTTTCACACTGTAAGAGTGAAGCCCCCAAGGGGCAGAGACAAGAGAGATCCATATAAATACCCAGAGACAGAACTATGTTTAGAGTTCGCCTTGAACTCAGGAAGCCCTGAGGAGAGAGGAGAAGGAGGATATTTGTGCAAGGAAAGGCCAGGAGGCAGGAAACAGATGGACGGTGAGGATGGGAAAACTAGATGTTGGGTACCAAAGGATGGGGCCCGGGTGGGGACTCAAATGCTGGGATCCGAGAAGCCCGCAGTGGGGGCTTTGGTGGGAGCCCCAGCTGGTCCTCCCCTCACAGTGAAAGGCAGTGAGCCATGGACGCTCAGCAAGCCCCTGGGCATCTCCGTGTTGCCGCTAAAGAGCCGTTTGTACCGCAAGATGCTGACAGGGAAAGGCCTGAATGGGCTACGCGTGGAGCGGCTCCCCATCACTGTAAGTCCCCCACCCTGGACCAGGCCCATGGCGGGCCCCCTGCTCCTAGCCTGCCCCACTCCATCTTGCCCCACCAACATGGTGAGTCTGGCTTCTCCAGCAGCCTCCACTAGGGAAGCTGACCACTTTTGGGTGTGAGGAGCTCCTCTGAACACCAAAAATCTAGGCTTTTGATGAAATTGCCCCTGAGCAACTTGGAGAGAAGTGCAGGGCAGCCCCAGGGGAGGGCAGCAAGAGCTCAGGCCTTGAACCAGCCAGACCTGCATTCAAATCCTGACTTGCCCTAGTCCTCACTGTAGAAGCTGGGGCAAGTTATTTAACCTCCCTGAACCTCAGAGTGCCCATCTCTAAAATGGGAACAATATGCCTGTACACGATCTTTCTGCATAACAAGAGTCAAGAGTCCAGGCTCTGGAACCAGACTGTCTGGATCCAAATTCTGGTTCCACCACTTACCAGCTTACATGACCGTGGGAAAATTACTTAAAGTTTCAGTGACTCAGTTTCCTTGTCTGTAAAATGGGTTCATAGTAATAGTACTTTACTCATAGGGTTGCTGTGAGATTTTTTGAGGAAATACCTGCAAAGCACTTAAAACAGAATAAGTTCTCAATAGGAATTAATACATTATTATCATCATTGTCTATTTCTATGCTACCTTTTTCTCTAAAATACTTCTGGCCATCCTGATGTAATAGACCTCAACAAGTGAGAGCTTCCCCACTCTGCCAGGAGGCAAGTCTGGAGGCACCAATCAGGTCTCCAGTGGAGTTGGGAAGAGTGGTGTGGAGGTGGTGAGGGTGAGCAGAGATAGGAGACCAGCACCCGCGTCCCTCCCACTCTCCAGGCACAGCCCCCAGCAGACACCTTCCTGGGGAATCCAGGACAGGGGGTGGAGCAGAGGCAGAAGCTGCCCTGGCCAGTGTGGTCCAATTGTTCCTTTTCCCTCCCCAGGACACCAAGCTGAAAACCATAAATGGTGAGGCCCCCACGGTGGATCTCGCCTTCCAGCTGCTCTCCTCCGAGGTAAGGCTGTGGATCAGGAGAAGTTCCAGCTCCTGTAGCCCCTCAGTGGGTTCCAACCTCCTTCATAATAGCTGGTCTTTTTCGGGGGCTGGGGCCAGGGGCTTCTGGAAGGAGGGGTCTGCTGCTTTGGGTGAAAATGTCTGACGGTCATTTGAGGCTTCAAAAAACCAAAGAGAAAGCTGAGATTAGGAAGAGAAGAGTTGAGAGCAGAGGGCCTCCCAGACCTGGGAGTCAGTCTCTAACCCAGCCCAAGCCAAGCCTGGCTCACTGGGATCAAGGTTCTACAAGGGTGAGCTAGGATATCCGTTTCTGTTGCCATGTAACGAACTACCACAAACTTAGCAGCTTAAAACAACACCATTTATGTGCTCACACTTCTACAGGTAGGCAGTCTGTCAGAGCATAGCTGAAATCAAGATGTTGGCAGGGGCACCATCCTTTCTGGAGGCTCTGGGGAAGAGTGCACCTCCAGGCTCATTTAGGATCTTGTCGGAATTCAGTCCCCTGCAGCTGTAGGACTGAGGTCCCTGGTTCCTTGCTGGCTGTCAGCTGGGAGCCTCTTTCAGCCCCTAAAGCCCGCCCACATTCCTTCTCACAGTGGCCTCCTCCGTGTTTAAGCCAACAGGCATGTCGAATCCCCCGCACACTTCAAAACTGCTGACTTCCTCCTCTGTCAACCACCAGAGAAAACTGTGCTTTTAGAGGGGCTCCTGTGATGAGGTCAGGCCCCCTGAGGATCGCCCCTTCTTAAGGTCAGTTGTGCCACATAATCACAGGAGTGATGGCTCATCATATTCACAGGTTCCAGGGATTAGGGTGTGGAATCTTGGGGGCCCATTCTTGGAATCCTGCCTCCTGCAGCTGGGTTGGTCCAAGTGGAAAGATAGCAGGGGCTGAGCCCTGCCCAGTGGATGGGCTCTCTCTGTCTAGCCAGCTACACCTGGGCTCTGAGTCGAGATTGGACCCTGGTCCTTTGGCTCCAGTGCACCTAGCAGGCACCTGCTGGAAGTTTTCTGCTTTCCTCTCTGTGATGCTGAGCCAGGCATGAAGCTGGGACGTGAGCAGTTTAGGACCGTGAATCCAGGAGATGCCTACGGGGGCTGATGTCTGGGTCAGCCCACTCCTGCCAGCTTCCCATGCCAGGAAAAATAGCCACCAGCTCTGGGGTAGTGTTTGGCCCTGTGACCTTACCTGTGAAGAACACAGGGAGTTCCATGGTGTGGGGCGTGTGGGGTCTATCTGGGAAAGTACCAGCCCCAAAGTGTCTCCCCACAAGGCCTGTGGTGTGTGCCTGAAACCTCCCATTAGCACACCCCAATGTGGAATGTTCTGCACTGCCCTCTGGAGATTCCTCTCATTCCTGGGTGGGAGGGAGTGTTTGGATACTCCCTGACATCCTCCCCAACCCCCGCACCAAACCAAGTGCAGGACCCGGGAGGTCCTGAGAGGGGAGGACACAGAAGCAGCAAAAGACCCCAAGAAAGGGGAAGCAGGGTCCTTTGCAGAAAAATGTCACAAATTTCCCAGATTGGAGCTCAACCCTCCATGGCCGCTTCTTGAGGTCTGGTGTCTGCCAATGGCCACTGCCAGCCCCTTCCTTACCTCCCCCCTGCCTCCTGCCCCTTCACTGGGGCACGAGTGTCAGAGGACCAAAGGGAGCGCCATGTGCCCCTGGTCGGGGCACTGGGGAACCCAGGCAGGCAACAGGCAGGTGGGCAGGACACTTCCCCAGTTGCCCAGGGGCTGGGCACAAAGGTCTCAGTGATGAATTATTCACCGGAGCTGTGCTAAGTGCAGAATTAATCCCTTTCCTTCCAGCTGGCGGCCTCACTAAATTATCCCTCCAAGTCATGCGGGAAAACGCTGCCGAATTCATTTAGCTGCTGAGTGTTTTGATCTGGGCCTTGTGATTTTAGCTTCCCTTTTCCCCAGCCCCCTCCCCCTGCAGCGGGTAAAAAAAACATTCGGTAATGGATTTCCGAGAAGAAAGGAAAAGAAAGGGGATCAAGACTGGGTGTGTACAGGAAAATAGCACTAGAGGAAATTCAGATTCTGCAGCCAAGAATTCGTACACACACTTCTACACATACACACTCACACAATCACATTCAAATGCCCAGACACAGTCACATATGCACAGACGTGCACACAACGCACACACACACCATTTTGCAAGGGTGCACACATTTAAAGCATACATACATGCTCCCACACCCATGCAAACTGACACCAGACGTTTTCACACCCGTGCTGGCACACGCAGAACCTAAATCTCTTTGTGGCTAAACTGTTTCTTGGTGAAACTCTCTGAGAATTGGCCAATAACTGACTCGCTTTGATTCTAAAATCTCAAAGTCCAATTTGGGGGCCTGAGTATGAAGTACTAATGTGGGTGGACTCAGCATAAGGTTCTTGCAGCCGTAGCACCCACCCATTCCTTCTTTTATTCCACATATATTTGACGAGGACCAGAATTTTGGCTGCTCTCGTGGATTGCAATGAGGAGAGGGAGGGGCCGTCGACCGGGGAGCCCATCTGCCTTGAATTCCCCGTCAGCAGGATTGGACATGGCTCTCTGCTAGCATCTGAGCCTCTTGGGCCTCCTTCTCCCTGAGGGGTGGTGGGAGAGTGTTGAGAATTGAGGAATAGGTCAGATGGCAATGCAGCTAAGTCCAAAGGGCCCATCCCCGGCTCTGTCCTTCACCATCGCCTTCACTGTCACCCACCATTGTCCACCACGCGGCTGCAGACAATTACTGGGCACGTGCTATGCAGCACATACTGTCCTGGGTTTTAGGAATCTTACACTGAAGAAGACAGAAAAGGCCCTGCCTTCATAAAGCTTGCATTCTTAGAGAGCAAAGAGTGCGGACCAGACAATGAACAAATCAATCCGTGAGCAGATATCAGCTGGTGATAAGAGGCCTGATGAAACCCAGACAAGGTGACAGGCTATTTAGACTTGATGTGGTATCTGAGTAAGGTTATGAGCCAAGCTGCCACAACAAAGAGACCAGGTTCCTTCCATCTTATTGTTCCACCTAAGGCGTCGTCTGCTAATTCATGGTGGGAGGTACCTGGCCTTCGTCTCTGCAGTCCAGCCTGTGGGAGGGCAGTGGCAGACCTGGGAACAGAACCATGGACCCTTCCACTGTTTAAACCAAACACTGCTCAGAACTCCAGGAGCCACTGCCTGAAGCTTGGTGATCTTTGAGTCCTGTGGACACTCCAGCTGCAGTGGGGCTTGTGATAAGGGGCCTTTCAGGGGCCTTCGTCCATGTGGCTAACAACTCCATCTTAGGGGCAATTTCGTGCACATGGTCAGACGTGCTGCAGAGAGGAGATACTTCAGGAGAGACGCATAAGCATATCCTGTTTGAGAACCTCCTGCTTAAGGACACAACCTCTTTCCCACAGGCCTCCACGTCCAGGAAATTTGGGCACAGGCCGTCCTGGTTAATTGACATTTTGGTGAATACAGTCTCCACACACCCACTGCTTGCACATTACCCATTCTCAGAGATCTAGGAACAAGAGCATTGTGGAATTTCCCAATAGGCAGAGACTGCAGAGGTGTCTCTCAACAGCCCACCCTGGGCAGGAATCTCCTGACAACATCCACCGTGGACCGTCATCCCGGCTTCTCCTCTTCTTGCCATGACAGGGAGCTCACTACCTCCTAGAAACAGCCCATCTCATGGCTCAGCTACAACCGATAGAAACGCCCACCCCACATTGAGCCCATTCTGCCTCCCAGGGCCCTTCCTCTGCCCCAGGCTCCTGGCTCTGCCCTCTGGGGCTGCAGTGCAACCCCGACAAGCCTCCTGTACTGGTTCTGGGGACACTGGCACAGGGTCAGCTGTCCAGCACGCTATCTCAGTGAACAGCAAGAGGGGGTGGCCTCCTAGTTCGGGCTATTGTGCTTGAAGCTGGTTCTGTTGGTGATGGGTTAAGCTTTTTCCCTCTGGTGGGATTCTCTATGGGCACCTGCTGCTTGGAGTGATTTGCCTTAAGCTGGAGTTGTGTGTGTAGATGAACACACGTATAACTACACATAGATACACAAAAACTAGAAAAACACCGCATAGGGCTGGCCCCATGGCTTAGTGGTTAAGTGTGCGCGCTCCGCTGCTGGCAGCCCAGGTTCGGATCCCGGGCGCGCACTGACGCACTGCTTCTCCGGCCATGCTGAGGCCGCGTCCCACATACGGCAACTAGAAGGATGTGCAACTATGACGTACAACTATCTACTGGGGCTTTGGGGAAAAAAATAAATAAATAAAATGAGGAAAACAAAAAAAGAAAAACACCTGCATAGACACAGAAAACTTCCCTTTATTGCGCATTCAGTGGGGTCTTGGAGGTCCCTTAGGTTCTAAGATCTGTGAGCCTCTGGCTGCTCCACACATACGTACACGAATAAACCTTTGGTCTCCTCCAGTGCCCCTCTGATGTTGGCCTCTTCTCTTTGAAGAGTATGATCCGATCCCCCAGGAGTCTGTGCTTCTCTGGGCTAAGCAGCCTGCTTCTTTTAATGAACTGGTTTCAAGATCCCACAGCATCCGGGTGCCCTCCAGCTTGCAGACAGCCTCTTTTAAGTGAGGCCCACGACTGACCAGCTTCCCTCGGCTGACCCATGTGGATTGTAGCCTGGCATGTACACAGTAGGTGCTCATTGTGTCAGTCCCTTCCTCCCTGCCTGGAACTGTCCCTCCTGTGAGGTGGGACAATTCCATGCAGTCATCTGGGTCTTCAGCAACATGTCCGCTCTTGGGGCTGGGATTTGGGATCTAGTCTTGCCCGGGCAGGATGCTAGGGCACCGGGCAGAGGTAGGGCCTCTCAGATGGGTGGCCACACCCTCCTCATCCCACAGCCCTAAGAGATGCTGGAGGACCTGAAACCCACTGGCTTCCTTGGATTTTGGCACAGGCAGGGTGCATTTGAGGAGAGGAGGATGTGGTACCTGCTGCCACCCACTGAAGGAAGGGGCAGTTCCCAC